CAAACAAAGGAAAAATGTAAAATAACGAAATGTTTTTGCTTTTCATTTGTTTTGCCATTGTTTACTTATTGTGTAAGTGTATGACAAAGTACTTTTGAACCACTATTGAAATAATTAATAATAAAATAAAATATATGTTTATTCATGTTGCCTTTGTTCTGTCCGTGTCACTCGATTCATCTAACAGCACGTATGGCTGACGTTAGCTAGTCAAGGAATTATATATATATATACAGTGTTCCCTCTCTATATCGCGGTTCTCCTTTCGCTCCTTTCGCTTTTTAATCGATCTCGCGACATTTGCCCTGCATCGCGATATTTTACGGGAAATAAAACATTTAAAATTTTTGATATTTTTTTTCAGAAAAAATAATATTTTTCTAGCCCCAAAAGGGGCAATGGTGTAAAGCACGCCGCCACTGGCCTCTAGAGCAGTGGAGACGCGTTCTCTGGAGTGATGAATCACGCTTTTCCATCTGGCAATCTGATGGACGAGTCTGGGTTTGGAGGTTGCCAGGAGAACGGTACATTTCAGACTGCATTGTGCCGACTGTGAAATTTGGTGGAGGAGGAATTATGGTGTGGGGTTGTTTTTCAGGAGCTGGGCTTGGCCCCTTAGTTCCAGTGAAAGGAACTTTGAATGCTTCAGGATACCAAAACATTTTGGACAATTCCATGCTCCCAACCTTGTGGGAACAGTTTGGAGCGGGCCCCTTCCTCTTCCAACATGACTGTGCACCAGTGCACAAAGCAAGGTCCATAAAGACATGGATGACAGAGTCTGGTGTGGATGAACTTGACTGGCCTGCACAGAGTCCTGACCTGAACCCGATAGAACACCTTTGGGATGAATTAGAGCGGAGACTGAGAGCCAGGCCTTCTCGACCAACATCAGTGTGTGACCTCACCAATGCGCTTTTGGAAGAATGGTCAAAAATTCCTATAAACACTCTCCTCAACCTTGTGGACAGTCTTCCCAGAAGAGTTGAAGCTGTAATAGCTGCAAAAGGTGGACCGACATCATATTGAACTCTGGGTTAGGAATGGGATGGCACTTCAGTTCATAGTAGGAGTCAAGGCAGGTGAGCCAATACTTTTGGTCATACAGTGTATTTCAGAAGTGAAACTCGGTTCATTGGACTAACTGACTAACTGAAAATGTGCAATATGCATCAAAACAAAATTTGGGCACCCCAACAGAAAAAAGAAAAAATCAATATTTAGTAGATTCTCTCTTTGCCAAAACAGCTTCATATATACTTTTAACTTCCAATGAGTTTCTGGACTCTGGATGGATGTATTTTGGACCATTCCTCTTTACAAAACAGTCTCCAGTTCAGTTGAGTTTGATGGTTGCTGAGCATGGACAGCCCATTAAACCCTTAAACTATATTCTCAAGAATCTGCTGACTTTGAGTGGAATCCATGTGACCCTCAACTTTAACAAGATTCCCAGTACCAGGACTGGTCACACAGCCCCGCAGCATGACAGATCCTTCACCACATTTTACTGTGGGTGGCAAGTGCTTTTCTTGGAATGCTGTGTTCTTTCGCCGCCATGCATAACGCCCCTTGTTATGACCAAATAACTCAATCTTTGTTTCATCAGCCCACAGCACCTCGTTCCGAAATGAAACTGGCTTGTCCGAATGTGCTTTTGCATACCTCAAGCGACTCTGTTTGCGGCGTGTGCACAGAAAAGGCTTATCAGAATTGTTGAACGATGCACGGCGACACCATCTGCAGCAAGATGACCTTGCAGTCGTTTGGTGGTGGTCTGTGGTCTGTTGTCTTTGACCATTCTCACCATCTTTCGCCTTTGCCCCTCCGATATCGTGTTTGTGGTCTTGCATTTCCTCACTATGTTCCTCACAGTAGAAACTGACAGCTGAAATCTCTGAGATAGCTTCTTATAGCCTTCCCCGAAACCGTGATGTCGAACAATCCTTTTCTTTCGGGTCATTTGAGAGCTTGTTTTGAGGCCTCAATGTTGCCACTCTTCACAGGAGATTCAAAGAGAAACACAACATGCAATCGGCCACCTTAAATACCTTTTCTCATGATTGGCTGTCTATGAGGTTCAAGGCTTGATGAGCTCATCAAGACAATTTTGTGTTCCATTTAACCAGTGCTACGAAGTTACAGGTATTTAAATCAACAAAATGACAAGGGTGCCCAAATTTTTGCACATGTGTATAATTTGGGTTTAGCGACTGGGTAATATCCAGTAACTGCATCTTTATGTGCGATCCAATACTTGGATCAATCCTTAGGACAGGAGGACTGCCATTAACCCCTGCCCCGTGACCTCTTGTCATATGACCAGATCCTAGTTAGCCTCCAGAGACACCTCTCTCTCTCTCTCTCTCTCTTTCTCTCTCTCTCTCTCTCTGTTCTTCCTCTGTGTAGGTGTATGTACGACATAAGACTTTGTTTACATGTAAAGGCTGTAGCACTTATGTCACAGGGCTAAAGTATTTGAAAAAAAAAACCAAAACACAAACTGTAATGAAGTGGCAGCACACTACACTTGCAACCTGATTATAATCCTAAGTCCATTTTGGGGTTGATCAATGTCAAGCTGGTAAAAAAACATACGTATGGAAAAAGCTCCTGCTGTTAGTGTTCCTGCAATGCACTGTTGAGAGAAGAATGACTCACAGGTTTCCCAAATGATAAGGTCACATTAGCACTGTTTCTACTTTAGCATTCTGACCAACACAAGATTGATTCCTAGACTGACCTGTACGCAGACAAAATGTTTTAGCTTTTACAAAAATGTATATGGATGATTTTGAAAGATGATTTTTTTGGTAAAGATGTTTCAGCAAAGAGCAAAATGTCAGTCACTCTTGCAAAGATTGGAAACACATTTCAAACATAAGTAATCGGTAACAAAGCATAGAAATCGATCAAGTGAACCCCCCCATATAGTTTGGATGTGTTCATTCGTAAGGATGCTTACCCTCTGCTTAGCTTTTCTCTTTTCTCTACAACCTGAGAATGAAAATAATTCAATAAATCCAGTGGTAACTGAACTTCTTTGTTTGTTGAATAAAACATTTTTGAAAAGAGCAGGTATTTTCGGTGACGATGAAAACTATTCACAAACCTAAAAAAGAAATTTAATAACTGTTTTTAGAATACAAAAATGGAGACAACAGGTCACAAGCGGCGAAGAACAAAATAAGGAGAAGAAGAAGAAGAACAAGAAGACTGTGATGTAAAACTAGGAAAACAGGGAACTTATCTGTGTCTCCTGATGTAACAGAAGTGAAAACCACTCTGAGGTTAATTTCCTGCCAGGGGAGGTGAGAACAGTATCAAGATTTTCATTGTTTCACTGAGTCACTCTAGGAGGGAGCGGAGTTGGTTTGGGGCTGTTAACATTCACAGCACCATTCCTCCGTCTTCGTGTAGCTGCACACGACACACGGACACGCATTTTCACACAAGCGCTGTGTAAAGGCACTAATCAGACTGCATGACTAATACATCTGTGGTCCCTTCTCCATCAGAGTGCTTATTTTGGTCCGTCAGAGACGAGTAAGTCCGTGTCATGGTTACTATAGTGATTAAAGCCTCCGTCCTTTCTCTTACGTTTCCGCAAGCTAAAAGAAACAATTTGCCCTCTTTTCACACACACACACACACACGCACATATGTACATACCTGCAACATTTTAAAAGCCAAGAACTCGTTGTATCTGCGCAAACAAATGGATGGAAGAGGAAATGAAGCGCAGTAAACTCTGTGTGATCTGTGAGTTCCACGTGCAGAGCAATTTGCTGCTCCTGATGTGAAGCCATTATGTTTTGCAGGCAATTTACATGGGATGTCGTGAACCCTCTCAGCCTTTTACCTTCACGCAAGTGTCCAAAGTGTAACTAGTTAGTGTCTGATGTAACCTCACCCCTTTAAAAAAACTTGATTAGTCATCAGGATGTCAGGAGAACTTCTTGGGAAGGAAATAGAAAACCAGTGTTTTTAAACATTTTTTTTTTACGCTCCATTGAACACAAAGGGATAAATTAACAAGCAGAAAGGGAACTTAATACGATGTGTTTGAAATGTGAACTAAAGATTACAATACATTTTATCAAACCCAACAGTGGTTTGGTAACTAATCCACCCGTTCCCCTAGAATGCACCCTGCAGCTGTCATCCATTGAGTTGCATTACTGGCAGAGGCTGAGTTTGTTTTTAAAAAGAAAAGCACAAGAGAAAAAAAGTCCAGCACTAGTTCAAGTAACTACACCAACGTACACATCGGAAATGATTGTGAAAAAAAAAAAGATATTTTAAATGGGAATTATTTGACATACACATACATACATTGTTTCTTTCTTTGCAGGAAATTCTGTATATTGTCACACAAACTAGTATAATGAAGACACGATGTGGGCTTTAGCAACACCTAGTGGTGTAGTTCCATTTTGTGAAACAACGTCCCTTACATCTATCTATCTGTCTATCTATCTATCTATCTATCGATCGATCGATCGATCGATCGATCGATCTATCTATCTATCTATCTATCTACAGATAAAATGTAATTTTTGTAAGCGTGAATGAATGCATAAGAAATGTTTGAGTTTGAGTTGATTTAAGTTCCACAATTTCTTAAATACTGAACCACAAAGAAGCGAGTCCACACTGCGCACGCTCATTGTTTTCCCACCGCCCTCAGCTGACCGATCACATGAGCACGTAAACGAAACCAAAAACCAGAGAAGAGAGTGTGAAGAGCAAGAGGTTTTCTTTGTTATGGTTTCCGTGTTCGCTCTGTGACTCGCAAAATCTAGTTGAAACTGATTTTAAACTTAGTTATTGGTGAGAAAAAAACAGTTTCATATACCACATCAATAAGAATATTAGTAATATTATTTTTCAAATTCTTAACATGTGCGCTTGTGACAATATACATTTTAAGTTTTATTCGGCGTGAGAAAGAGCACTACGCATGCGCGCTTCACTTCCTATTTTTTGGGGGTGCTTATCTAACTGTAGGATTGAGCGTGGTTCTTTGGAAAAAGTTTGCATAAAAGACCTAACAGACAACTTATCGAGTATCGAGCGGCGTGAAATAAGCACGTTGCGTCGAGTCTCTGCCAAGGACGAGTGTTCGGTTGTGTAGACTTTGGGGTGTTTTTGTGTGTTTTATGTGTGGGCAAGTTAGCCAAGCTGTGTAAGAAGATGAGGTTGAGCTCTGTCCTCCTGTGTGTCCTCCTGCTGTGGGTGAAGGAGTCCCGAGGAGACACACCTGCAAACTGTACCTATGAGGAGCTACTGGGAACATGGGTCTTCCAGGTGTCCAAAGGTGGACACGACAAGACGATTAACTGTTCAGCTGAAGGTAGGTATTGTCCTCTGTTCTTTAGAGTCGGCATAACACTCTAAAAAAGTTATGCAAGTAACACGCAGAAAGATTTAGCACAAATCTTCACTCTTGGTAGTCGTAGTCATGAAAGGCCTCAATATTTACACCTTTCATTTTTAACAAGTACATTACAAGCGTAAAATAAGAATCAAACTCTTTCTAGAACCCAAACGAATGAAATGGATAACTGTAAAAGTCCGTGTTTTCTGAAATATCAACCTCTGAGGTTTAGCCTATATAGTATTTTTTTTTATTTTTCCATATTTGTCAAAGATTATTATTTAAATTACAATGTAACTATTTTTTTTTTTTTTCATTTTGCCTCCGCAGCAACAGGTGAAACCACAGTGACCGTAACCTTGGAGAAACTGTCTGTAGCCACGGATGAACTGGGAAACACAGGCTTCTTCACCATCATCTACAACCAGGGATTTGAAGTCGTCATCAACGGCTACAAGTGGTTTGCTTTCTTTAAGGTAAGAGGACAACAGACACAGAAGATAACACTGAACTATTAGTGCAGAGTACAGACACAGAAGATAACACTGAACTATAACAGGAAGTCATTCCAGTACACGTTTAAACACTGCTAACTCACTTCCTCTCTATCACATGACTGTGACCAAAGTCAAAAATCATAACCAGTCTGTTTGTCTCCACATATTTTTATCTCTGGTTATTTTCACTTCCTCTTTTGCTAAACTGGAATTCAACTGAAATACAACTTCAAAGTTATTGAATTATATATTAAATAGAATATTTTCATTCAATGTGGTTTCTGTTATTTATTCTTTTTAATCATTCTTTTGTAATCAAACACACATTTGCAACCAAACTCTGTCTCTATTACTTTCAAGTACACTGAAGATCACCAGAAGGTAACCAGTTACTGTGACCAGACCCTACCAGGATGGGTTCACGATGTCCTGGGCAACAACTGGGCTTGTTTTGTGGGCAAGAAAATTAAAGCTGTGCCACTTCGTACAAACGACAAACCATTTTACAGCAGCGGGTATGAAAACTTATGTTGTGACTGTAAATGGGTCAAACACACTCATAATGCAATATAACAACACCTGTAATTCCGTAGAAAATTAGTTTGTGTCTGCTGCGGAAATTACTTCTTGTTTACCCTGGAGCTTTATTTAGCATTTTGGTTTTTCCTTTTACGTTGCTGGCAGCTAGTTTATTTTATTTGGCTTGAGGGAAAAAAAAATAAATACAAAGATTTGCTTATCTGGCAAAGTATATATGTGTGTATATATGTGTGTGTATATATGTACAGTATATATATGTATATATATGTATGTGTGTATATATGTATATGTATACGTGTGTATATATATATATATATCTTTATATGTATATATGTATATATATATATATATATATATGTATATATATATATATATATAGTGTTTTGAAGAAAATAATTTAAAACTGGTACATTATTTAAACATTTTAGCAAAATGATCTTGGAGATATACATTCAAGGGAGCTTTGCACTATATGTTGCTAATCCGTCACATGGTTTTTCCTTAGATTCAATCACTGGACTCTTAATCAAAATGGGTTACTTTTTATTCCCAAGAAAATGTTCTGCCTAGATTTTTCGTCTTGTGAACAGAAACTCTTCCGTTTTTTTTTTTTATATCTTCTCTTTGTTAATCTTCCAAAACTCATGACGATGACCTTTACAGGCTGCTCCAGAAGCCGTACAAAAACAACCAGGAATTTATAAATGCTATTAACCTGGTCCAAAATTCCTGGGAGGCTGCAGCTTATCCAGAGCATGAAATGTTCACGCTGCAGGAGCTGCACTACAGAGCAGGAGGCCCTGCCTCCCGTATCCCTGTGTGAGTGTCGATTAGTCCCCTTATTAAGTTACTTGGTTAACATTCCAATCAGTGAGTGGTTAAAATGTATTTATATATATTTGGTTTTTTTACTTCAGGCGAGTTCGGCCCACACCTAAGACAGCAGAATTTGCCAAGATGGCGGCTGCTTTGCCAGAGCACTGGGACTGGAGAGACATGAACGGTGTCAACTTCGTCAGTCCTGTGCGAAACCAAGGTGATATTTGATTGTTTTGTACTTCTCTCTGTTTGACTGATGTTTCCTGCATCTGTGATTTTTTTTTTTTTTTTTTTGTTCCTCATTTCTGCTATTTTTGCTGAGACTTGCAACTTCTGTCAGACTCCAGTAGAAATGTCAAATTTTTTAGATCTCCTCAGTATGATTATTGTCAGAGAATCTATCAAGATACTACGATTATCATACGTTAATCATATATTATTATTACACGTTAATTAATTATACAGCAACATAAATGTGTAAAATGGGACATGGACTCTTGTTGTAGGTCTTAAAGTTTCCTTAATTCTTAACTTTTGATGCCAACATAACAAAGATGCATGATCTCATCGATTGTTACTTTTTGTAAAACTGAAATAACAGCTCAGTTTTATTCCTTAGATTCGAGGCGTAGATGACATTGTCCAAAAAAATCATAGCTCAAAGCATTGATATTTATCTTTTGAATCTCAATATTGTATGTGATATTTTATTATATTTAACCTAAGGGAAGCAGAGTGAAGGGAAAACTTCCACAAATTGGCCAATTTTAGCTCAGGGCAAGCACACATATATTGATAGAAAAAGAGAAATGGCATTGTTTTGGCAATTACAAATGTAATTTTTGTAAAAACAAAACCTTCACCAGTTTAAAGTTTAAAGGTTCTGTTAGGCATTTTATTGAGGTTTCTTCAGTTCAAGAACTGAAGACGCCTTTTGGATGAGAGGTGAAACGTCTTCTCTAATTCTAACGGAATTATTAATAATATGACCCAATATTTATATTTGTATATTTACCGTATTTATTAATACAGGACCAATCGTTAATCCCCCAGGGGGATTGTTTCAATTATTTAAGTCATCAATTTTGATCTAAACCAGATGTTTAAGTTTATTTTCATTATCTGTCTAACTTTATGTGACCACATATAAAACTTAAGTATTATTCTCGTTTGTTTATTTTATGTTTAAATTACAATGACATACACATACACATGTATGTAGTTGTTGACATTGTAGTAGTTGCAACAATAGTTGTAATAGATACCCACCTCACATCTGAAGAATGCCATTTAGCAATTGGTGCTTTCCACGGACTGGCTTCCCACCTCACATCTGAAGAATGCCATTTGGCAATTGGTGCTTTCCACTGACTTGCTTCTTCAACAGTGTCTATTTCTTTTTTTTTTTTTTTTTGCTTTTTCTACATTTCTCTGCCCTTTAATTGTGGCCGCTGTCTCAGCTTAATGATGTAACAGTCGGATGAAGGGCGACACACTGTTTGGACAAATGTCACATCGAAAAACATTAGACATTTATCCGATATAGGAGCACAAATGAAATTGGTTAGGGTCAGGTTTGCAAAAAAACAAAAAAAACAAAACAGATTTGTGCTGTTCACACTGTCAATAATGAATCAGGTATGGGTCACATACTGTATGGGCAGAAACATTGTGTTTTGTCCACTTTTGCCTGCCGCAGGAAAGTAGTCTAGAAGTGGAGCAGTTACTATTTCCCCTGATCTTTATATAAAGGCAGAAAAGAAGAATGCAGCGGAGAAGATTTACAGAATCAAGGTCTGGAGCCAGAGCTTGAAAAAGACATGCTTTACAGGCAGAGAGTGAACAGCAGTTCAGCAGCTACTATGCTTCCCTCTAGGCAGTCGTAGGTCTGCTTTCTGCTCAGCTCCCGTGTGTGCACAGTGCCGAGTGTGTGAGAGAAGAGATTATGTGTGTTGTGTGCCTAAGTGGGCCTCTGCAGAGCTGAGTTTAAGGATGTGGAGAGAGCTGAAGTGTTTCAGCAAAAGCCCTCTAAGCCACTGTACTTGATGTGTTTTCTTCAATGTTATGAGTCTGCTAATTTTTTTAGCAAGTTTTTGATTTCCACTTTGGGAAAAAAAAATGTAGCTTTTGAAAATAAATTGGCTGTTCCAGTGGAAATTTAGGTTTGTGTTTTAACCAGTTCATAACACAGTATAGTGGAGGTTTGACATTTAGGCCATTTTTGGAAAGTGCGTTTTTACCCTTTCCAGTGTCATTTTAATCATTTGTTATATGTTTGTTACATAGGAACATTTGACCACACGTTTTTGACAAGTTTTCATTATGTCTTTGTCAGGCGTTGAGCTGTGTTATAATATTTTTTTTATATATTTTTCTAAGATTTTCCAACACTTATTAATAGGGATGTCCGATAATATTGACTGGTCGTTATTATCGGAGCATAAATATGTAATATTGGTAAGAATCGTTATCATTTTTTTTCTCTAATAATGACCAAATATGCTGGAAATGCCGTGAGACGTTACTACAGTTTTGGGGGCATACTGCTGCAATATTGGTATCGGTTGATATCGGAATTTGAAATTAAGCGTTTAGACCAGGCATGGGCAAACTAAGGCCAGGGGGCCGAATGCGGCCTTTTCAGCTTTGTAATCTGGCCCGCCAAACTTGTCCGAATTATATAATTGGTTTGTGTTGTGATTGTTCTTCTGCCTTTTCCCTGCAATCCCCACGTTGTCCCTATAGGTAAACTTGTCCGAGCTTAAAGCATTTTAGCCTTTATGCATGACGTTTACATGTAATTTATCTTAGTTCACAAGAACTGGGCAAATTTTAGCTCAAGGCAAGGACACATGTGTTCACAAGAACTGGGCAAATTTTAGCTGAAGGCAAGGACACATATATTGATAGAGGAAGAGAAATGTCATTGTTTTGACAATTACAAATGAAGATTTTTTTTTTTTTTTTTTTTTTTTTTTAAATCTGACCTATACTCCTTTTTTATTCATTACAACACATGCTAACCCATTTGTCCCAACTCACTGTGCACTTAAGCTAAATGAATGACAGTTGTACCTTATTAGCCATAATGAGATCAGGGACCACGGTACATGGAATTATTTTGTAGTATTAACCATGCAGTAAATCCCTGCTGTTTTTTTTTTTTGTAAAAACAAAACCATCACCAGTTAGAGCTTTTGATGACTCACTAAAAACAACTGCACTTGTGTAAAACTATTTCTCTTTAGTGTTTTAAACAGGAGTGTCATTGTCTGTTCTGTGTTAGCATCGTGTGGCAGCTGCTACTCCTTTGCTTCCATGGGAATGCTGGAGGCTCGCATTCGAATCCTGACCAACAACAGCGAGACTCCCACCCTCAGCCCCCAACAGGTGGTCTCCTGCTCTGAGTATTCTCAAGGTAAAAGAAAAAATCCAGATTGTTCCAAATTGTTTTAGCAAACAGAATATGGACAAAAACATCATCAGCTTTAGGCTGAGGTACTCTTGATGAATTTTGCAATTTATAAGAGCCTCACTATGTTGATATTGAATAAAATTGTTACATATTATGTATATTATTGTTATTGTTGTTGTTATATATGAATGGGAAGTATGAAAATTTTAATAAATTAAATTAAACAATATATGCATGTGTATAAATATATGTACATATATTCATATATGGTATTTTCCGGACTATACAGTAAGTCGAACCAGCCAAAAAATGCATAATGAAGAAGGAAAAAAAAACATGTATAAGTCGCTCTGAAGTCGCACCAGCCAGCTAGAGTGCCCTCTTGAGGCTGTCATTGTGACATTAACGAATATGTAAATTTTCACTGGTACAGAAGTGGCAGATACTGGTTCACAAGCCTAGAGTGCCCTCTAGCAACTGTCAGTGTAAAAATAACAAACGTGAAATTATATATTTCAATATATAAGTCGCACCTGATTATAAGTCGCAAACCTACCCAAAGAAGGGAAAAAAAGTGCAAGAAAATACGGTATGTGTGGTTTAAGTTCAAACAAGTCAGAGATGTTGTGTTTCTACTCTCCGTAGAAGGCTGATAACAGAACAATCCACAGTCCTTGCCAAACACAATGTCATTGTTTTGACAATTACAAATGAAGATTTTTTTTTTTTTTTTTTTTTTTTTAAATCTGACCTATCCTCCTTTTTTTTTCTTTACAACACATGCTAACCCATTTGTCCCAACTCACTGTGCACTTAAGCTAAATGAATGACAGTTGTACCTTATTAGCCATAATGAGATCAGGGACCACGGTACATGGAATTATTTTGTAGTATTAACCATGCAGTAAATCCCTGCTGTTTTTTTTTTTTGTAAAAACAAAACCATCACCAGTTAGAGCTTTTGATGACTCACTAAAAACAACTGTACTTGTGTAAAACTATTTCTCTTCAGTGTTTTAAACAGGAGTGTCATTGTCTGTTCTGTGTTAGCATCGTGTGGCAGCTGCTACTCCTTTGCTTCCATGGGAATGCTGGAGGCTCGCATTCGAATCCTGACCAACAACAGCGAGACTCCCACCCTCAGCCCCCAACAGGTGGTCTCCTGCTCTGAGTATTCTCAAGGTAAAAGAAAAAATCCAGATTGTTCCAAATTGTTTTAGCAAACAGAATATGGACAAAAACATCATCAGCTTTAGGCTGAGGTACTCTTGATGAATTTTGCAATTTATAAGAGCCTCACTATGTTGATATTGAATAAAATTGTTACATATTATGTATATTATTGTTATTGTTGTTGTTATATATGAATGGGAAGTATGAAAATTTTAATAAATTAAATTAAACAATATATGCATGTGTATAAATATATGTACATATATTCATATATGGTATTTTCCGGACTATACAGTAAGTCGAACCAGCCAAAAAATGCATAATGAAGAAGGAAAAAAAAACATGTATAAGTCGCTCTGAAGTCGCACCAGCCAGCTAGAGTGCCCTCTTGAGGCTGTCATTGTGACATTAACGAATATGTAAATTTTCACTGGTACAGAAGTGGCAGATACTGGTTCACAAGCCTAGAGTGCCCTCTAGCAACTGTCAGTGTAAAAATAACAAACGTGAAATTATATATTTCAATATATAAGTCGCACCTGATTATAAGTCGCAAACCTACCCAAAGAAGGGAAAAAAAGTGCAAGAAAATACGGTATGTGTGGTTTAAGTTCAAACAAGTCAGAGATGTTGTGTTTCTACTCTCCGTAGAAGGCTGATAACAGAACAATCCACAGTCCTTGCCAAACACTTTTGTAAAAAATAGTTCTTTTTTTTTGTAGCTGCTCTGATTCAAAACATTTAACTCTGTTTAAAAACTGCTTTTTCTTAATATCTCAAGCAGATATATATTTTCTCTGCCCCTGTTACAGGATGCGATGGTGGCTTCCCATACCTCATTGGAAAATATGCACAGGATTTTGGGATCGTGGACGAGTCATGCTTCCCGTATGTTGGAAGTGACACTCCCTGTGGAGTCTCTCAAATGTGCGGCCGCATTTACACGGCGGAGTACAGCTACGTGGGCGGGTTCTACGGTGGCTGCAGTGAGATGGCCATGATGATGGAACTGGTCAAGAATGGACCGATGGCAGTGGCCTTTGAGGTAAGTCATAGGTGCAGAAGGTTTAAACCAGGAAAGAATTAATATCCATAAGTTGATTAAGATGCCTGAAAAATTCAGCAAAAAGAACACTTCAACATTTCATCTAATAAAACTTGATGTTCGATACCACCAATTTCCTTTCCGATCCGATACCGAGTAAAATTGCCGATATCGATACCGATATTTTATCATTTGTCTTTGAAATAAATAAAAAAAAAAAGTATTTCAAATCATAGCTTCTTTAAGAATCCAAGGCAGAGTATTTTTATTTATTTATTTATTTTAAACTCTGGAGTGTACTGAGGTAGCTGCCTCATTTACTATACAGTCAACACAACAATAGAAAAACCTGAGAACACAATCATA